AAAAAAAAAAAAGGCACCCATCTTTTCTTGACAGACCAAACAGAAACAATTATCTCTTGCTCTGAGTTGATGAAGTCTATACAGCAGGCTTGATGGGCACTAGCCCAGGATTTTGTGGGGGCTGAATTTCAACCCCTTCTCAAGTCCTCTCACTTGGGTACCCTCTTTCTGAGGTCAAAAAAACTATTCAATGTACATTACTATTCTGAATGGACAGTTTCCAAAGATAAACTAAGGATACACCATAATAATCCTTACTCGATGTTTATGAAAGGCAAGTACAATAACAAGTTTAATGAAGCAAAACACAGCTTGTAAGTGCATAAATGATTCAGTGATTCTCTCGGGGAAGCCAGCTCCATTTGTAAACCTCATATATAAGTTTGTTTATCATTTAGAAAACATTTATTAAGCATCTACTATGTGCCAGCTACTGTGGTGGTTACCAAGGCTATGAAGCTGAACGAGGTGGACACAGTCTCCCCTCCCCCTCATGTAGCTCAGAGTCCGGCAGATGAAGGAATTAATCAAACCAGCAATTCTAGTCATAAAAGAAATACGAGGTACTATGCTTATGCAAGGCAAGAGCAAATGTCTGAAGGAGTTCTAGAAGGCTAAGTTAATTATATATTTTACTAGGTTTCAAGAGACATCTTGTCACTGTGATGTTATCTTTCATAATGTTTATGGTTCATTTTCAATTCACTAGTCACAGCTGCTGCCCATAACATTGTAGAAAATCACTTAAATGAGGATATATCCATCCTGGTTATAGTGTGGCAAAGAGTGCAAAAGTATTGCTCATCATTTCACCACCAGCCTCCTCCACTGGCATGGAAAACAAAGAGGATATACTCTACAGGGGCCTCTCTTCCCAACATCCCTCATCAGTAATCCTGGACCTATAATTCCCTCCTTAGGACTTGGTGTTGAAGAAATTGATACAGGAAAGAGAGAATAGGAAAGACGGAAAATAAACTTCTGTGGAGCACCAACTGAACACCCATGTAGGTTTCTTACTGCATTCTATGGGAAGCATCCCACCAGACCCTGCCCCTCCTTTCCAGGTCAACTGAAGACAACCCATCTAGAGCCCAGCCAACAACCAGGACTTCTTTCTTTGCTTTAAAAGATGAATCCAGCCAATCAGAAATATCTCTCAGCAGGTAAATCAAAAGACATAGATGATTACCCATTAGTGATGAGTGCTGGTTCTGGGTGACTAACTACATTGGCTAGGGATGAGAGAGGCCATTCAAATAATCTGTAAAACAAGGAACTGGTTGACAGAAAGAGAAGAATCGAAAAAACATGTAGAGAAAGGGGGAGAAAACATGATAAAAAGAAATTGAGAGAAAGTGTATCTTTCAGGCAGGCACCTCACTTCCTCTGATCCTGGTTGTCTAGTTTTCCCATGTATTAGTATTCTTCAATAAATCTTTATTTTTCCTAAGGTCATTTGAATGAGTCTCTGATCTTTACACCAAGAGAACCTCAACTGAAACAGGTAAGTAGCTTGTTTGTGTTTATTATCATCATGATAACAGGTAGACATTATTCCTGTTTTATATGTCACATAACAGGCTGAGGAAGATAAAACAAGCTGGCCTGAGTTAAACAGCTATGCTGACAGCTGGCAATGAAAACAAAAATACCTGAGGGTCTTATAAATACTTGGAATCCTCTTAGAAAACCACTTTCTCCACCTACGCCTTCCTCTACCTACTTGAATATGTGGAGTTGCCAATATCTCTTTGCACCTATGTCCTGTTAACTCTTTCATCAACTGGTATATGTTTCTCTTCTGTGTTGTCACCTCCCTTCACAGCAACATCAGAGTTCATGTGGATGAAATTCTGTCTCAATAAAAATGCCAAATATGGATTGTCTGAATATATTCCTACTGATGACCCTTCTACTGTATGCAACCATTGAAAACCCAAATACGAGACTGACCTTCTGTAAAACCACATGTTGACCCCAAAGATACTTCAGAGTTGATACAGGTCATGCCCTCACTTCAAGACACAGCTGCACATAATGGAAGACAACAAACTTACTATTAAGACATCTTTTCATCACTTTTTGTCTGTGTTTTTTTAGTTTGTTAATTTCTTGAAAGAGAAAGACAATCCTCTCAAGATTTTGGGCATGCACACACACACACACACCTGGCATGAGTTTCAAGCCACTGGGTCCAGGACTAGAACCAGTCAACCATTTGGGAGTGCAGCACCTTAACCACCACACCACCTGCTGGCCCCACCAATATTCTCTTGAAGCAGTTGCAACTGCTGAGGAAACTGCTGCAGCTCCTGAAACAGGGCCTCCATGAAAAGGTTGTGAGAGTGGCTGTCATGCAGCAGGACCTTCTCCAATGAGAGATGTCAAGAAGAGAAGCTAGAATACATGCTCCTGGAAACCAGCTCAGTAGTGCAGCCATGATGTGCTACTCAAGTGAAGCTGGATCCACTGAGTGATAACAGACTCAGTCTCCACTCAATTGATGTTCTCTGACCCTGTGCCCGTGATCCAGCCTGGGAAGGTTGAACAGAGATGGTGTCATGAAACCCTGTTGAGGGTGCTTGTTTTTCTCTTTCTCTCCATCTTCCTCTCAGAAATAAACTTTAAAAAAAAAAAATCAAACATTTCTGGAAGGATTAGGCTGGCAAAGAAAGTGACATCCTTTCTTGAGAAAGGGAGAATTCTTTCTCCTAGCAGCATCTAATACAGTCACTTATGTCAAGATAGCTACTGATTAAACATCCCCTACAATTCTGCAACCAGGGAGATGAAGGCAAAAGCTCGATTGTACAGTGTTATTAAATTTTTAAATGTCAATTTCACAACGCTGCTAAAACCCAAAGCAAAATGTTTACTAAAATCTTTCTGTGGATTTATGCACATATTAGTTTAAATTTTTATTTACACAGCTCTCTGAGTATTCATCTGGAAAAACAAAATTGCTTGAGTTGTCAAAATCAAATAATTTTTCAAAACCAAAGAAAAAAATAGACATAAGACAAATATTTCAGAATTGTTTTCCTGTACCGACTGTATAAATGACAGTCCAGAGGTAAAAAGAATCCCTAAAAAGGAATCACAACACTGAAAAAGCTAAGTATTACTCAATAATTATATAATACACTACTATTTGTGACATATATTTTCTGCAAATATATTTAGAATATCTGTGGAGGAATACACAATAAACTATTAGAATTAATGTATCCTAGGAGATAACTTGTTAGAAGGAATACTCGTTTACAGTACTATTTTTTATAATTTTTTATTTGACTCATGTCCATGAATTTCTAAATTTAATTTTTTTCTAAAAAACAAATCACCATTTAACAAACTCAACAGTGAGCCCAAATAAATTCTGATCATTGGCTAAAAGTTTTTCATCAATAATGCCTTTCCATTCTATAACTGTTATAAAGATACTTAGAACAGTTACTTGTTCTATGGATTATGCCTTTAACTTGATACAGTCAAATTCATTAGTTTTTTTCTTAATTTCTATTTTTAGGAGCTTTTTATTTAATTTTTTTAGTTTTAAAATTGTGTAAAACAGATACATGTTTGCAAAACCAAAACTACAAAACAAAAGCCAGCCTATGGTTTGGTGGTTAAGGAAGCTGGATCCCACTCGGTCAACCTTGTGGTCTAAGTCCCAGACCCCAAGGCTTGAGAAACACACCAGGCACATGTGCCAAAATCCCAAAAGGAGTGAAAGATGGAGGAGAATGTATTATGGCATGACAATTCCTCTTGGAGAGGGGTGCTGTCTCTCTCTCTCTCTCTCTCCCCCTCTCTCTCTCTTTCTCCAGTGAACACACATGCTCTCTGGCAAATTAAAAAAGAAAAATAGTAAAAAAAAAAAAAAAAGAAAGAAAGAAAAAGAAACTATAAAACAAGGTATATTTCAGAAAAACCAGCCTTTATTCCTTTTCTCATCCTATTCCTTCCCCTATTAGTGATCATTTTCTTTAGTTTCCTGTTGCTTAAATAAATATGCATATATGGGGTTGTCGGGAAAGTCAATGATGCATTTTTACACAGAAAAATATGTTATAACTTTCCCGACAGCCCAATATATGTATTCATGGCCCTCTCTTAGATAAATAATAGTACACAATCTGTGATTTTACTCACCTTACTTATAATTTTTTTGTTATTCCTATTTTTTATTTAAATAG